CTCTTTTCTGGAACACCCACACGTGGCCTCTGTGTGGCCTGGGCGTCCTCACAGCAATGGCTGGGTTCAAAGAGCCAGCACCATGAGAAAGCTTGCATTCCAGGCAGAAGCAGTATCTTTTTTTTAAAAAAATATGTTTTTATTGATTTTAGAGAGAGGAAGGGAGAGCGAGAGAGGGAAAGAAACACTGATGTGAGAGAGATACATTGATCAGTTGCCTCCCATTGAAATGCAACGTGGGAATGTCCTGACCAGGAATCGAACCGGTGACCTTTCAGTGCTTGGGATGAGGCTCAACTAACTGAGCAACACTGCCTAGGGCAGAAGCGCTGTCCTTTTAATGACCTAGTCATGGAAGCTACACAGTCTCACTTCTGACTTATTTTTTTGCTAGAAGTGAGGCACTAAGCCTAGCCATCATTTGAAGAGCCTGGTGTCAAAGAATTTGCATACATAGTCATGGAAGCTACACAGTCTCACTTCTGACTTTTTTTTTTTGCTAGAAGTGAAGCACTAAGCCTAGCCATCAGTTGAAGAGCCCCGTGTCAAAGAATTTGCATACATCAGTGGTTCTCAACCTTCTGCCCTTTAAATACAGTTCCTCATGTGACCCAACCATAACATTATTTTCGTTGCTACTTCATAACTGTCATGTTGCTACTGTTATGAATCGTAATGTAAATGTCTGATATGCAGGATGGTCTTAGGCGACCCCTGTGAAAGGGTTGTTCGACCACCAAAGGGGTCGCGACCCACAGGTTGAGAACCGCTGGCTTACATGTTTTAAAGCCACCACAGTAACCATTATCTTTAGGTTAACTTACATTATTGCGTTTGAAATTGGCCTTTTAACTAACAGTGTTCTAAACTTTTTAAGAAGGGCTAGATTTTCCTGTTATATTGTGTTTTGAAAGATTCCTGTGTCTTTATTATGATGGTTTGTTTGTTTTATTCTGTAACTCCCCACGGTTTTCTTGACAGTTGATTTAATGATTGGCTCTCATTCAATGCTGTGTAATTTTAGTTTACATTTCCTGTCATTTTGCCATCAAGAAAGGTATCTTCCTTTGGTGTAATACTTTATATAATTGTTGTTTACGTGCTAATACTTAATATTTTATATGGTTTTCTCAGATAAAACCAACCTGTAATCACATAAGTAACTCAGAACTGCTTGGTTAGTTTTTTAAGTGAGCCATTTTAAGAATTTCCAAAACCTTTGCCTAACTTTCACTGTGAAAACTGTGAAAATATTACCTAATTTTTGTCTTAAAGGAAACTTTTCCTTTTTCTTTATAGCTAATTAAGGATCTTGTGGTGATTCATGTGGTTTCTATTATGGTCACTCAGCATTTATTACAACTATGACATTTCACTTGAATGATTGTTTTCTAAGGGAAATGTACATTCATTGTATGTTTTCCTATATTTTCTTTCTCTTCCTTTTTACATACTACAACTCTTCTGATTGCTTTTCCTTCCCTTAAACTACCTGAAGTATTGTAGTTAACCACATTTTGTAAAAGGTGACTGATTTATACATTCTGAAGAATAAGGTAAACTGCATTTTAGATGAAAACCTGTTAGATGGCTTTCTTCTTTATAGGGTAACTTATAACTCAATGAAATAAAAAATAGTAATGTGTTTTATGGACATTTAAAATAGTATATGAAACCTAATCTAAGTATAAGCCATTCAAAGACATTCAAACATTACATATCAACTTTGTTTCCTATTACAGACATATTTAAGAATAGAAATAATGTCCTGGTTAAGCAACCAAAGGATTCCTTTAATGTGTCAACACTTCACATGATATCAAGTTATTTTTATCAGATTTTTTTCTGTTTATAAGTTTTTAGAAACTGAAAAATTAGGAAACCAGCTGGAGGTGGAAGGCGTGGTCACTTGCAGACAAGTAAATGTGGGCCGCACCAGAACAGAAACGGGGAGCTAAAGGGTCATCTGAACCGCCCAGAACACCTTAGGAGGCAAGTGGGCAGGAAAGATCTTCAGAGCGAGTGGCGTAACTTCTGCAAAAACTTAGCAATAAACCATCTGATCAGTGTCTTCTCTCTTTTTGACTCCCATTTGTTCATCTTATTATCTGGATGTATTCTTTGTCATTTTATTTTTAGGCTTGAGTATTGTAAAATGAAGTGGGGCCATTGTGCCTTCCTGGCTCCTTTTGTCTACTAGTCATTTCTGAAACCATCAGCACTCAGCCTGACTTACCCAGTGGCCTTTACCGTCCCTCACCTGTGCCCGTGCTCTGCCTCATTCAGCCCTTTTCTAGTATTTACTACATGTGTTACATAACACTGCACAAAGCAAAACTCACTGTATTTTCTCCCTGATAGATTAAGCTTTCTAAGAGTGAGGACGATCTCCAGTACGGGGCTTGCAGGAGGCAGCCAATCAATGATTCTCATCATTGATGTTTCTGTCTCTCCCACTCCCTTCCTCTCTGAAATCAATAAAAATATATTTTTTAAAGAAGTGATGAGTGGGTTGTGCTCAATTTTGTAACTGCAGCATCTATCAGAATTTAGCCCACAGTAGGTACACAATATATACACGAATTAATAAAAACTTGGTCCTATAAGAAATATGCTTCTAGCATCCTGCCCTGTGGCAGTCACCTGTTATGGATGAGAAACTTAAACTCAGTATAGGCCGATCTACTGAGCCTGTATCCTAACCCCAACTTGACTGGAGTCAGGATACGTGGGAGATCAGGTCGTTTACCCTATAATAAAAAGGACTATGTTCGACTTGTCATAATTTTTAAACATGTCTTGGATGAAACAGCTTTTGATTGGGCTGAATGCAGGTCCTTCTGCTGGTTTTAGATCTTGTAGGTCATTGATTCTTGAAATCTGAGTGTTGAGGTCTGGTGGGTGGGTCAATGACTCCATCCCCTTGAACCATGGGACACTGCTTTGACCGTGATAAATGGGTGCTCCTTCATCTTGGAAGTGTCTGACATCGTATTTCAGATAGCCCCCCACCATTTCTCCTCAGCATAAGGCTCCCTATTGGTCCTGATGAGGATTCCTCAAAGTGGTGGAAAAGGGAAGGCAGTTTACATAATATTCCCAAACCGACAAGCCAAAGACAAATATTGAGACACTCAACTTAGTTTTGTTTTAATGTTCTCTCTCCAGTAGAGTCTTACTTTGTTGTTAACCGAAGATTGAATGAGCCTCCCTGAGAGCAGAGTAAGCTCTCTTCTGAGGCTTGAGGGAGGGGAAAACAAGTTGTTTGAAGACCTGGGTACTAGACAATGAGCTAAACTTGGAAATAAAGCAGAAAGATTACTGCTGGTCCCTTCGGAGTTGTACTTAGAATCTTGGCCAGCTTGGCTCAGTAGTTGAGTGTTGACCCACCCACCAAGAGGTCACAGGTTGGATTCCAGGT